TTTCAGAATTCCTACATACGTCATTGCCAACATCTCTCGGTTCTAGGTGTCATGGTTAGCATTTTGGACTTGGAATCCAGCGATCCGAGTTCAAATCTCGGTAGAACATTCGGGGTTTTTTTTTATAATCTTTTCGCGACTGTTTAAAGTTCTTTTGACTAAATAAAACAAAAACATACTAATTCCTAGAAGAAACAGAGCAATAAGATTGACAAAATAAAACAAAAACATACCCGGTAACTCTGGAGAGAGACAAAGCCAGGCACATTTTGAAGATTCGTATTGAGTAAAATTAGGCCAAATTGTTGCACATAATTATGTTCACATTGTCGGTTCTTCGTCGGTTCTATGGTGTGTATTGATTAGCCGTACTTTGGACTCTGAATTCAGCGATTTTTTTTTTGCTGGCGACTGTGAACATTTTTCAAGCGAGATTTAGTAACCTTAAAACCATATTTAATGTTGATGATTTTGTTATTGATATAATTTCTCATAAAGTCTTGTATGGCCGGGTCAAGCCTCCCCTTGTGAGAGTGTTAAATCTAGGCCTAAAGTTGCACAACAGCCAACATCTGTCGGTTCTATGGTGTAATGGTTAGCACTTTGGACTTTGAATCCAGCGATCCGAGTTCAAGTCTCGGTAGAACCTCATTTTAAATTTCTTTTTGTTTGGGACTGCATATTCAATTGACATTCATTAAAATTAAGCTAAAAATTATCACAAAGGTAGTGGAATTTGGAAATCAGAATGGTCGATTGTGATTTGTTTTATTTTTACTTTTTTTAAAACATGCTTAAATCTAGGATTTGATATCCATCACTATTCACTCCACGGCATTTTGGTTAATAAAATGTTTGAGTCAGACTTGGTAAACACACATTTTCTGAACTGTGGGATATAATATTGTGCCATTCGAATTAAATTCGAATTTAAGCAAATTGGCCTACGAAAAGGCCTAGTTCTCGCCCATAGCTGTGCAGACCGAAACGTACACACCCAAGCTTGACCGGGGGTCACGAGATGTAATCACTAAAGTTTATTCGCAACCGGGCCATGAACCTATTTACATGCCTTGTCGTGTCTGTACTGACTTTTAAATAATACAGTAGGAAAGCCACTGGAAAAATCGTGTCGAATTTCGCCTAGGAGAGGGCGTCCTATTTTTCGAAATTAGTTCAAATTTTCAGAATTTGATGGTGTTTGAAAAAACGTTAATTCATCAAGTAACTTAC